ATATCGACAGTACAAGGAACTATGGCTTGTGGTTGTCGTGGAAGGCGATTTGACTGAAACTTGACTGGACGTGGGGCCACATGCTCCAGTTCTTTTCACGCATCAGCGAAAACCATCAAAGCCTGGAATTTGAGGCAATGTTGATTCACTGCTTGAATAAGCGTCATCCACAAGACCCTGCACTTTCATAAAATGGACATTCATATGCCTCACATCACTTTTGCGTCAACATTGACTGCCTCTGAGTGCATGGTTCATTCATCTTGAAATGAATGAAAAAATGTTTACCACGTTCCATGCCGCCTGTGCACGTATTTCAGGGAGTGTGGTTTGACGTGCTAACTCGGCCTTTGGATGAGACAGTGAAAGCCCCGGGTAGGAGATCATGACTTGGTCTTTGTTTGCAGGGACAAGGTCTTCGCGTAGTTACCCCATGAGAGTGTTTTAGGAACTGGCTAAACCCAAAGGTCACTTGTGGCACACTGCTTCATCGTCAGTAGATCCACATTAGAGAAATATCAACTGTCGTTCTCAAACCCGCTACACTTAGCCTGACCTTTCGCACAGTCCCGTTTGAATTCGCTTGCTTAGAGGAACCTCGTAATTCAACCTTCATGGTTACCGTCACCGATAACTGACACAAAGAGATCTTCAGCCGACTCCCGTGGATATATTTAAAAATGAAAGGATGACTGAGTTTGAAAAGGTGAGGAAGATAAAGGACTACGTAGTCACTGATTATAGCTTATCTCGTTTTTGCTGGTCATCTGGACACATAATCACCCCGAATAAAAAAGATTCTTGCTTCGTGGTTAAGTAGACGGGAGCTCCAAACCCCTGCTGACACGATCACATTTAATTTCACATGTGGGAGGAAAACAGGGTCAGCACGAGCAACAACGCGGTAGTGTGCCAACGGCCTAATTTAAGTGTACCGTTAAAGCAATCGCCTGTTCATTGATTAAAAAAGCCTTATCAGTATGAACGGACCAGCAGAATGGAAACAGGCTGTAACCCAAATACATCGTTGTTTTCTCCAACGCTTGCAACAACCTCGTTTCAATTCACGATGATTCGCTTTGCCTTTCGCAAACGCAAGTCTTTTTCTCAATTCGGAACCCAGTTTTGTTCGTGCTTGGAGTTCTCTTACCTCCAATAACTCTCAGCGACCTTTTGCCCAACGCGATAAACACGACGACCATTCCACCGGCTAACGCGAGTAGCCCAAAACGATTTCGTTCACCAGTATCCAGACTGACAGCAGTTTTGACGTAAACAGTAGCGGTCGGCTTGTTAAGTAATTTCATCAAAGCTGGACCAAGAGCTGTGCTATGTATGTACCTGTATGGTACCGATGTTTTGAAAGAAAATATGAGGTGGTTACTGCCACAGCAAAAACCCACCGTGGATGTAACGGTTGCAGCTGAGTGGTCGGTATTTGAACTGTGACGCAACTGTAATTGGAAAATCACAAAAATCCGGTGGATTTCATTAGGTGCACTGATTATTTCTCTCGATTCCACTTTGATTCTGCAAGTTGATTCGTCTTCCTCACCTCTCTTTCTCTTTACAATTGGATTAATTAAAAAACAACGCCAGGTGATTATTATCCATTGACTAAGCATATCTTCAGGCTTTAAAAATTGCAACAATTGTCGAAATGACAAATCAACCACGGCAAAATACCATCAAACTCAAGACTAAATCATAAATGTCAAAACGCAACACAACAACCCACGCCCACTCTTAAGGCGACGAGGACAACTATCCGAAAGGGGTACGAAAGGTTACAAATGTTGGCTGGTTTGGAATGCAGGATTGATGGTCACGTTGGGAGAAAATGGACGAGGGCGGTAGCGAGGCGGCGGCCGGGGCAGCGGACAGCTTGTCCCCGAGAGCCGGGGTACACGAGGGCGCAGCGTCGTCGTCACCACTGCGAGAGTTGTTTTCTGTCTTAATCACGAAAGGACTGTGGTGTGTTTGCACAGAGCTGGAGTCAATTGGAAGACTTTTCATCGTGGTTCTTGTGAGTCAGAACTAAGGACAATGTATGTACACAAGCAAGGTATACAGCTAATTCGGTTCACAAACTCACACGAAGACAAAATGTAGGGATTTGCTGGGGTCTAATCAACCACAACATGCCATCCAAATACTCCACTGACTTGACATCGTGAAATGACATAAATTGGTGTTCCTATTCGGCCACTTAATCAAAAACGCCGTCCACATTTCAGAGAATTTGAATAACTTACAACTTGAAGAGTGTGACTTGAAAAGAAGCCGCAAGTCACACGTATCACAACTGCAACTGGAATCCACAACCTACATGCGGGTATTGGCGCTCCAGTTCTCCGCCAAATCCTTCGGCACGCTCCTTGTTATCACAGACAATTCCACGCAGCCGTCTCGCCTCTCTTAGTGAATTTTCTAGAAGCCTTCGCGTATAAAAAA